GCATCCTCCCCAGATGTGCAGGAGGCCGCTAGCAAGGCGGCCGAATCTGGCGGAGTAGAAGGTGGAGTCGCCTCACCTTCCGCGGAGCTCAGTTTCCCGAGCTGAGGCGGGGTCGCACATCCTCCTTGCCCTGATCTTGGCACAGGGAGGTCTTGTGCTTGGTGCTGTTGCACCAATAGCGGCTGCCGTAGCGGCCGCGGACCTTGTACTCCGCCTCGGTCAAGCCAAACTTGACCCATGGAAACTGTCCTGGCTGTCCATTTCCGGCCTGCGGTGCGGATTTCGCCTTCCCATTGTTGCAGGACTTGTTGGTGCTTCGCGACTGGACAGCGGCCACCTGATCTCCGTCACTTGATACTGGAGTGGCTGCTGGGTTATCTCCACTGTCCTGCTGGACTGCAGCGAAGTGCTGCTGTCGCGGACCAGTTCGTGCCTTCTCCACATAGGTCGGCTGCCATGTTGATTTCTCGTGTGCAGCTGACCTGTTGGTCTTGATGATCTCCCTTGCTTTGTCAATGATCTCCGCGAAGGTTGAGTACTGCTCGCGATCACCAAGAGCCTGGCTCAATGCCGCACAGGACCTGTTGTAGAACTCACGGCGTAGATGCTCAAATGGTAGGTTCAGATTGGGCACAGCCGCAATCTTCTGCCACTCCGTGAGAAAGTCCCTGTTGCTGTGTTGCCCTGTGACATGGTGAACAAACGGTTGATGGCGAGTGCCGACGCGTCGTCGACGATGAACCGCTTCTTCCACAACCGTGTTACTTCCTCCCATGTGATCACGTCCTTCAAGTCTGGTACGTCGACGCCGTGGGAGGTTGCCAGGTGGCTCAACCAGGTCTGGCATCCGCCCTTTGAGTTCAGGAGCATGGCGCCGATGTACGCATGCTTGGCTACTGGCAGAATCTTGAGTTGTGTTGTGAATGCTTCCCACCAGAGGACGGGATCCTGCTGCGTGTAGTCGTCGAACCTCTCCAGGTTGAAAGTTGGCATCTTATACATCTTCGGATTGTCGTCCGCGTTCGTCGACTGCAGCTTCTGGACCTCGGTCTTCAATGTATGCAGCTGACTGCTGATGGTGGTGGTCGGCGCAGCGAAGGTGCTGATGTCGCCGAGCATTGCCACTACGTGGTCAACGCGGTCCTCCAGTTGGCGGCTTGAGGGTGCACTGCTGGAAGCTCCAGCAGTTGGTCCTGGTATAGCCTGTTCCAGGTCCAACAATCGGACATTGAGTGCCCGAGTTGCATCCTCGTGGCTCTACACTGTGCAGCGGAGCGTCGCCAATTCCTGATGCTGTTGCGTCAGGTCCCGGTGTTGTCTCTCCAACTCTGACCTTTGGTAGTTGCAAGCATACAACAACCGCGTCACGAGTTTGGAGAGGAACTCCTTGTGCTTTTCTTCCGGTGTTGCGTCGTCGCCGTTTGGTTGAAAATGCCAATACTTGAGTATGTCGATGCTGTTGGCTTCATGCCGCTGCAGCAGATCCTGGGCTTCCTTTCGGCGAGCTTGGGCATCTGCTTCTGCATCGGCCTGTAGCCGCAGTTTCTCTGCTGCTGCTGCCTCTTCACCTTGTATGCGGGCAGCCTCGACTGCCAGCAGGCGTTGTTCCTCAGCCTCTATCTGAGCCAGGGAACGCTGCTTCAATGGTCTCATTGGCCAGTTGGCCTGGCACGCCCGTCATGTTGCTGACGTGGCAATGCTGCCGTGGCACTGTGTTGAACGTCACTGCTGACGTGGCACTGTGTCTGACGTGGCACTGCTTACGTGGCACTATGTCTGATGTGGCAATGTGACCTGGCACTGCGAACGTGGCACTGCTGATCTGGCACTGCGGTCGTGGCACTGCTGATCTGGCACTGCGGACGTGGCACTGCTGATCTGGCACTGTGACGTGGCACTGCTGACGTGGTACTGTGACGTGGCACTGCTGACATGGCACAGCTGATCTGCACTGCTGACGTGGCACTGTACCGAAACGGGATGCATGCAAGGGGTGGGTGGGAGGAAAACGGAGGGAGGTAACCAACCCAACAATGCTTTCCTCCGGCCCTAATCAACAGATAAAATAAAATAAAAAAATAAAAGAGGACTATTCCTTTTTTTTTTTTTTCTTTCTTTTTTTGTTATATATATCTGTCGATTTATGATGAGTAGGATATGTCAGAAGAGTATAATGAACGAGATCTAGGCTAGGTGCCGCAAAGTTTTGGCCTTTACAAACTGCGATCTTGAAAAAAA